GTGTGTGTGTGTTATATAACGCTTTTGAATGATGACAATTTTTATTTTAAACTTTAGTTTTTTTTTTATGTGTTATGTAATTTTTATAGTTATATATTATGGAAAGTACAAGAGTTAAAGGTCGATTTCAAATTGACCATTTATGAAATTCTTTCGAAAGATTTCTCTCAAAAACAAAAAACAAAAAGTTAGCTTTCGGTTATTATCTTCAGTGCTAGATTTCTTTTCTTTTTTTTTGTCGTATTTTTGTATATCAGTTATGTATCAATTTCAAAAATATTCGAGAAATTGATTATTTGCTAAGTTTCGATCTTTTTGTGTTATAACTACAAGTAAGAGTAATATAAGTATGTTATGGACAAAATAAGTTATAATTATATTATGCACTCTAGTTTTTTAATAAAATTAAACTGTAATCTCTAAATTATGAAAAATTTACATATACTAATTCAAAAATAATAAAAATTATAAAAATCATAAATTATTGGTTTTAGAAATATAAGAATATCCTTATAAAGTTCTTCAGATTAATATAATGTATTCTATCTGTTTGCCCTTGGAATTATTTTGTATCTCTAATTATTATTTATTAAACTTATAAAATGAAAAATTAATATATTAATTTGTAGATAAATACAATCAAAATTGCATGCAAATTTTAAAGAAACAAATTTTACATTAAATTAAGCTTGTTCTTTTTATAATAAGTAATATGAAATCTATTCACTTGACAAGAAAATAAATGCAACATCTCATATGGTGTAAAACTAGTTACTATCTAAAACATAAAATGGAGCAAAAAAAGAGTTAAATAAATAGATAAAGTGGCTAAAACCACTATCTAAAAATGTTTGATAAAAAAACTTAGGCAAGCAACAAAGTTTATCTCTTTTTCTCTCATTATAAAATTTTATCTGACCGAGATAGAATATCGGATCACACGTTTTAAGTTCAATCGAGTTCTAATCCATCGGTTGGAACATGTACATAATCCAAATGTTTTTCACCTAACAATCTTATTGTCATATTGCCAGTTGGTCGACAAGTTACCTTCGAAGCTCGAGATGATATCACTAATGTACGAGATGCATCTTATGATGTTATATATTAGATGCCGGAAGGTTCCTCAGAATTACCTTTGTTGCTTTAAGTGGAGCATACAATAGTTGGTCTACCTATCACATACACCAAATTAATAATATTAACAATTTGATCGAAGAAAAGTTTGAATATTTTGATTCCTATTGAAAGTGAAAGATCACATAGCTCATTCAAATTTTTGATACATCTGAGTCGTGCGTTAGGCTCTCCATTGGTTTCTTCTTGATCGTTTGATTAGTAACCCGATTTTTTCTTACCAGTATGGCCATACCATTCGAACACGAAATATAGAGATAGATGACCCTACTTGTATAAACTAAGGATAAACTTATCTCAAACATATATATATTCTAAGAAAATTAAATTTTAATGAAATTGTATTATAAGTGATAACTAACTTGGATAACAAATGTTTTTTTTATTTCTCAAAAAAAAAAATAACAAATGTTTTTTTATCAACCCAATTACTTCATAAAAAAAAATAAAGAGAATATCATGATATGTTTGTGTCCAATCCATAGAGAATAAGTTTAGAAAGATACTCTGGTTTAATTTTAACTCTAAAATTTGGCTAAAGAAATTTTGAAATGAATCAACTAGTCTAAGAGATTGGAAAAGAAAAAAAAGGACGAGCCAAAACAATACTACTATTTAAAATGAAATTTGAAAATCATAAAACGAATAAAACCTCAAATCTAATTAAATACTATCTACCAAATTACCAATAACCCTAACACACTCATATACAAACGACACTTATAAGCTAGGTTGCACGGAAGCTTCATCGAAGGACCGATTCCCGCTTCGGAATCAGAATTGGAATCGGAAGCTCGCGGAAGCGCGATTCCAAAAAAATCGAGTTTGGAAGCGTTTTGAAAACTTCGATTTCGATTTGGAAATTTTTTTTCTTCATTTTGGAAGCG